CAGTCTCTCTCTCTCTCTCTCTCTCTCTCTCACACACACACACACACACACACACACACACACACACACACAGACAGAACCTCAAACCTCCCTAGATGATTTATCCCAGGGAAATGACCCCTAGTTCCTCCTCTTATTCAGGAAAGCCTCTCAGAATTGCCATTACCTTAGGAAACTGCTCTGCAGGTCCAACTACTAGTAAAATGGTTGGTCTCTTTTCCGTGGAATCAGCCCCTCTGTCCTGTTTCCCCAACAGGTTTGACACCTGGTCTCCCTGGGCAGAATCTTGTTTGCCTTTGGCTTCATTATCTTTTCTCTCTGTAGAGCCTTGGCACACAGCCCTAGGGAAAAAACTAGACAGAAAATGCCAGAGCATCTGCAGCATCACTGCTCCCTCCAATCTCCCAGTCAAGAAAAACTCCGCAGTTGGTGACTGTTCACTTTCAAGGAGGGATGTGGCCACAATACCAAATGTTACAGGCTACACAGCAGCTTGAAAAGACTTGACCTAGGAGTTCCAAGGCTGAAGAAACTATGCTTTCAGCAATTGCTTCCTCCCTTTTCAAATTTGCTGTTACTGCTGTCGTGCCTAGCCTGAGAAGTAGCTTATGGTAAGATGCTTCACCAGGCTGTTGGGGAAAAAAAAAATAAATAAAAAGGCTGAAGATGAAAACCTACCCTTGCAGACGAAAGATGATAAGGTACTTAGCTTTATTTAAAAAAAAAAAAAGGCAAAGAAAACAACCCTCCCTGTGATAGAAGCCACTTAGTGCTCCCAATTAACCAGCCGTCCCCAAATCAACTAATGATCAGACAAGCTGAAGACCTGAGCATCCAGCCTGCATTCTCACTGCAGCAGCGCCTGGCCAATCCCCTCTACCGACACTAACATGTTCATTATTCAAACCAGCAATAGTCCTCCAATCACAAGAGTGCACAGCCGGATGATTTCCTGCATGCAGTCCAACAATTCTGCAGGGAAGTGGTGCCTGCAACCTCCAGATGAGGTTCTGTTCTCAAAGAATCGACAAGGAGAATAACTAGCAGAGACTCAACTCCCTACAACTTGACTCGGGATCTATCAAAGTATTTGTTGTGGAATCTCTTTGGTAACATTAACCAGATATCTAGAGATCCATCCTACACGCTGTTTCACACAGTTCTTTCTAAATACTGGAAGCATAATCATTCCTCTAAAAGCGATTCATAGGGGCAGCTAGGTGGTGCAGTGGATAGAGCACCAGCCCTGAAGTCAGGAGGACCTGAGTACAAATCCGGCCTCAGATCAAACACTTGACACTGACTAGCTGTGTGACCCTGCGCAAGTCACTTAACCCTAATTGCCTTAAAAAAAGAAAGAAAGAAAAGCGATTCATGTTTGGCCATCTGCTTCTTAATACACAGGTACATAAATGTAATGGTCAACTACTTTTGGAGTACAAATCTCTTGATGTCAAAGTGACCATTTTATCATGGCTTTCATACACATTTCCTAGATATCTAATACAAGGATGGGAAAGCAAGTCAAATGCCTTAATGTTTATCTCTCATTGATAAAAGTTGAAAGTGGCATTATCATACTCCGTACATTCACTTGATACCTGGAATATATTCATCTAATTCTTAGAAGAAACTATCAGGAAACTAGGTAGTTCCAATATAGTAATAGGAAAAAATCTAGTGTCTAAAAATTCAAGATGTGGTAAAGTCTGGTGAAACTTTGACAGGCTACTAGCATTTGAATTGTCTCTATGATTAGGATATGAAACTCAATTTTGTTAATTTATAGGATGCTCCATTCTGTACACTTTAGATCCATCTAGAATATTTTTACTTCAAAATGTTTTGTTTTCTCTCTTTGCCTCATGGTTTTATTAATTTTTTTATGTCATAGTACCCACTACACTATTGCCAGAAATATCAAATTTAGTGGCAAGCAGACCAAATGTTTTCTTTTCATCACTTATCAATTAAAACCATCTCAACCAGAGTAAAGGCATATACAGCTATATAACACTGCTTTACTACAATAATTTGCAAAACCTTAACATATAGTCATACTGTCAGATACACAGTAAAACACTAGATTAACACTTCTTGGTTGATAGTGAATACTATCAAGTCAGGAAACAAACTAGCTGAAACAATCACCAAGCATTTGTTATTAATTAATAACTGTTTCCATTTATATAGAACATAGACAGAGTTTACATTTACACAGTTTACAAAGTATTTTCCTTGTAACAACCCTGTAAAGAAGGTAGGAAACTGAGGCTCAGGAATTGACTTACTCAAGACCACACAGCTAAGGTCAGATATGAAATTCAAGATAAATGCCTAAACTGAAAAATAAATATGGGGGATGCAGAACAGGTAAATATGATTCAATTCCTGATCTATTAAAGAAAAAAGTAAAAAGCACCTATAAATCTGGACACAAATAGGAAAAATAAATTATGTGATTTTCTTTAAACACCTTATAATGTTGGCAAGGCTAGCAATACCTGAGGAAGCAAGAGGGCAGAGCAACTAGACTTGGAGTCCAAAGACCTTAAGCTTGAGACACTATGCTTACTGTGTGGCCCTGACGAGGTCACTTATTCTCTTCTCATCTGTAAAATTAGGCTATTACTATTCACAATAACAATCTCATAGGATTATTTTGAGTAAAGTATTTTCTAAGTTCCAAAGTACTATATAAATGGGAACCATAAATATCCATAGGCAATTGAAGGGCCATTTATAAAGTGTTTAACTTCTTCAAATAAGTAATCTGCTAGATCACTGAGGACATACCATAAAATGAAGGTAAATAGTATAAGTATTAACTTCATAGATACATATTAGCAAGCATACCTCATTGCATATGCATTCACAGAAGTGAAGCAAGATTTTCTATTCCAATCTCTAGGCCCGTGGGCAACTGCAAACAGCCAAAAACCACATATGCAAAGTTTCAAGGAGCAAAGCAACTCCTGCCCAAGTGATTCAGTCCACACCTCCAGTTGTCCTGATCTATATCTTGCCACTGGACTCAGAAGACCTGGAGGAGAGAGTGAGGCTGATGACATTGCACAGCTCTGCCTCATTTCAATCCAATGCACTTGCAAGTCAAGACATTACCCTCCTGATGTCATTGGTCTTCTTTGAGAAAAAATGAAGAGGTGTCAGCCATATGTTTCATTCACCATAAAGGGAACTAGGAAATCAAGGATGCTAAAACTTCAGTGTTGAAAAAGGTGAAACTCCTTTATATATTTCTGTCTTAGGAAGTGAAACTGTGAAATCCAGCTTTGAAGAAAACTTCCAATAAAGAACTCCTGTAGCTGGAACGGAAGGCATGTTAATGCAAGGACACTTCTCAAAGAATCATTAATTCTTTCAATAGTCCATATTTATCAGCAAAGAACTAATCTCAATGAGGTACAAAATGTTTACAATCAACCCAGATTTGAGAGAAAAGACAATCTGTAGGATGTTTAGAGAAATTTGAAGCAGTATGGAAGTTCAAATTCTAAGGAAACTGAACTCAAGCATGCCACATTTCTACCTCAAAGAATGCTTCCAGTGATAATGGCAGATCCTTAATTGAGCAGAGAAATTAGGTTGTCTTGAGTTGTCAGGGGAAAAGGTATATGCTTATTAGGTTAGCATGAAACAGCCCAGCTGCCCATTCAATGGGGTCAGCCAAATTTTTCTCAACTAAAGGCACCGAAAGAGTTATTTTAAAACCTAAATTGCTTCTATCACAACATCTCAATGTACACAGCATTCTAAGGTTTTTCAACCATTTTCTTTAGAACCACCCTGTGAGAGTTGGGCAATTCGAGTATTATTGCCATTTTATATATGAAGCAAAAGGCTCAGAAAGGTTCAGTGACTTGCCTAGTCATACAGCTAGGCAGTACTATAAACAAGGCCTGGACTCACGTCTCTGACTCCATATTCACCCTTTCCATAGCCGTTAACCTATCGGATTTACTTGCTGAGGCTTCTTCAAGCAGACTACTGGCTTAATAATGTGCTAAATATTTTCAGTTTTCAATAGTGGTTTGAGGAACTCATACTAAAACTGAGAGCATCTGAATCACTGAATGTGATTCCCCAGCTGCCTGCTCTAACATAGAGGAAGTACTGGGGGGGGGGGGGGGGGGGGGACGGGAGGCAAATGTGTGAAACTGCAACAAAGACTGCCTTCTGTGGATATTTATCAAAGTTTTTTGATACCAACTTACCAAATCCTACTAACTTTGATTAGGAATAGTCAAGTAAATTCTATCCAAAGACAGTAGAATGAAATCTAATACTAACTACTTGAATAAAACTATAAAACACACCTCTAAAAGTAAACGTGTAGCCTACTGTGCACAGATTAGGTTTTTAAAAATTCTGGCCAATAAAATATACACCAGATGTGAGTTCTCAAAAACAAAACAAGACAAAAAAACTAAGCAAGGTCAAGAAATTCATCATTAAACAATCCAACAAAGACTATTAAAAAAAATTTACAAGTTTTTTTTTACAATCTATGCTCAAAATCAGCAGTGTGATATTGGGCAGACTAATTCCCCTCTCTAGGACTCAGTTTTCTCAATAAAACTAGAGTGCTGAAATAAAGATCCTTTTCAGTTCTAGAAATCTGTCAGTACTTTGAAGATATATCAATAGTGATGTACTTAGTGACTAGCCTAGTGTTTCACACATTCAGGAGACAAAGTCATAGTGGCTGATAGAGCCCAGCACTGTGGCTGGCTCCATCCCACAGGACTATTCACTTGTTTTAGTCCCCCAGGCAAGAATTAAGCAAATAGCTTGTTCTTATTCTTGGCAAACTGTCTTTGTGCTTTCCCAGTATTTAAATAGGTTTGTCAATTTCCTCATACTATACACACAGGTTTTTTTTGTTTTTCAGTAAGAAATGTCATACTAAGCTCCAAGAACAAAGAAGGCTTGGGGGATAAAGGAAGGAAGGAAAGTCACTCCAGTAGTCTATTGAACTGCCTCTAATGGTATCTGCTTTCTTCCCAATGTACTCAAAGAGAACAAGAACAGCCACCATCTCTAGTTTCTCCAATCCACCCTCTGCAGAAAATGAGCAAATGACTCATCCCATTTCCAAGCTTCCTGCAAAACCCAAGCCAAGAACTGAACAAAGGTAAGAAATTTGCTCAGTTGCCTTTGCTGTTCATTTATTACTTGAAAGGAAAGTGAATTTTTAAGTCTTTAATTCATCTTTTTTTAAAAAGGCAATGAATTATGGGGTATTTCTGACTTCTTACACAGGAATAATTCACCAGTCAGGTGCCTTGCTCACTGTTTCTTGCTCAATATCACCGTGAACTCCTGGAAGCTTTACAGTGAGACTTCAAGGCTGGAACATTAGGCTTGCACAGGCTACTATGTTATAAATAAGTAAAATAAATTTCATGAACGTTTGCAGTTATGTTATACTTTGTTATACTTCTATTCCCATAAAAGTAAGAAGGCAATATGATATAACTGAATGAGTACTAGATAGGAGACTGGAACCCTGGGCTCTACTCCAGAGTCTGCTATGAGCTCTCAAGGTTATGCTCACTAACAGTTGAACCTTCATTTATAAAATAGGAATAATACTCACTTCATCTACCTCAGGGTTGGACAGGTCAAATGAGATATTGTTCATAAAACATTTCGAAAACACTAAGTGCTATTTAAATGTCAATTTTAGTAAAAATAGATGTGAAAGCAGTTTGTAAACCACAGTGATATATAATGCTACATCTTATCTCTACTTTTTTTTTAATATAAAATCAGAGGGCTGAAGGTATTTTTATCTTTATTTTATCTCCAAGGCCCTTAAGCTTCACTTCCGTCAGCTGCGCCCTCCTCCCCCGCAAAGATTTGCCTGTCTCTCTGTAAGAGAGGTTCTAATGGTAATCCCAGCTCCACTTGCTCTGTATTTATTATACCCTATCAAATTTCTCATTTCTGATTTATCCCAAATTTTGCAAATTGGGGTAAAATGTGAGTCTTGGGTTCACTTTTTGGCCTTACATATTTGAAAATGTTCTTTTTTAAAATCAAGAACTTGATAAACAGCAACAAACATTTCCAAACACAAAACAGAAAAAGATTACATATGAAACCATGAAGCTCTATCACATATAGCCTGGTTTTTTTAGAGTATACATGAAATTTAACAAACTAGTACCAACACTGCCTTGCTAAGTGCTTACTATGTGCTAGGTACTATGCTAAGCATGTCATAAATATTACCTCATTTGATCCCTCAAGATTTTCAGAAATGAATACATCTTCAAGATATTAAAAACAACAACCACCTAACAAAAATTCAGATTCAGGCCGACTCTGATCTGAGCACTTTCTTTTCTCTCTTTTTTTTGGGGGGAGGTACTTGGGGTTAAGTGACTTGCCCAGGGTCACACTGCTAGTAAGCATCTGGGGCAGTATTTGAACTCAGGTCTTCCTAAGTCCAGGGCTGGTAATCTAGCCACTGTGCCACCTAGCTGCCCTACTTTTTTCTTTTATATCTGGTTAAGATACCTACTAAGAATTTCTGTTGCTCAATTCATTAAAAAAAGACAAAACATAAGGTTAATCAAAGGTAAGCCTTATTAGAAACGAAACTGTTAAATATAGTACAATCAGTTTAATAGGTGAATTTAATACTTTTCAACCAGTATTGTGTTTTTCTTGCCATTGATAGACTGTTACCTGATGACTTAATAAGCACCATTATTTCTTTGTAGAGAAAGGTCTGTGTCTAGGCCTAAATAAAAGACATAACAGCGCAAAAGCAGAATTTACTTAACAGCATGAATGAAGACTAGTCTCCTCCAATTTCATGCTTGTTTCCTTGCAAGCTCTCCCATCTATTTTCCTTACACAAATGAAGAATAAAGACTTATCCAGGGAATTTCTGAAATAAGTAATTTGGCATGACATCCTTTAGCAAATCAAAAGTAACCTTATAAAAAAGCAGATTAAGCATTCAGTTAGGATCTTCTTGTGGAGACAATACAATGCCATAACACTTAAACTATCCACTTAATTAGTAGGATCTACCATACTTATTGGCATTTCTGCGACAAGAAAGCTTTTTATGAGCCTCAAACATTTTTTTCTTAACACTCTAATAGGATAAACAAAGAAATTCTTCTTATTGGGGAGACGGTGGTGGTGGTAGAATTTTTGTTGCTGTTCAGCTCTTTCAATTGTTCAACTGTCAGACAACTCTTTGTGACCCCATTTTGGAGTTTTCTTGGCAAAGATACTAAAGTAGTTTGCCATTTCCTTCTCCAGATTACTTTACAGATGAGGAATCTGAGGCAAACAGGGTTAAGGGACTTGCCCAGGGTCACACAGCCAGTAAGTGTCTGAGGCTGGATTTGAAGTCATGAAGATGAGTCTTCCTGATTTCAAGCACAGAGCTCTATCCATGGACCACTACCTAACTGCTCTTTGGTAGTGGAATATGGACATACAAATACTCACAAAATTTGCATCCTTCAAGTTCATTTTAAATGTACTATCTCACTTTGATGGTGAACTCAGAAAGACTTCTACTTAAGGTATATAATTAACAACCTGCCTAATTCACATCAGACCAAAAAAATCCTTGGCAGATAGTTTATGGTTTAGCCACAATGAATTATTCCAAATAAAGTCCCTGTCGAGGCTTTAAATATCTATGTGAAAAATTAAAGGTAGGTAAGAAGAGTTTTCTATACCCATTTTATTGATAAGGAAGCTGAGGCACAGAGAGTTTAAGTGAATTACCCAAAAGTCACAAAGCATGTTAGTAGCAGAACCAGCACTAGAATCCAGATCTCTCTAGTTCAAATTGTTTCTACTACACAATGCCAGCTTTTATATTTTGAGCTTCTAAATGAACTAAAATCTTTTTGAAGGCTAGGACAGCTCCCTTCTATTTCTTCCATATCCTTAGAGCATTTAATATAGTGCTTTACATAGTAAGTTCACAGTCTATGTTGATTACCTAAATTTTGTCAAGCATTTATTAAGATATATATCTCTGCTACACTTGGGTGAGATACCAAAGATATCAACACTGACCATTATATGAGTTCATAATCTAGTCAAAGTGAAAAAAAAGGATGCACATGAAAAACAATAAGTGGGACAGCTAGGTGGTGCAGTAGATAGAGCTCCTGCCTGGGAGTCAGGAGGACCCGAGTTCAAATCCAACCTCAGACACATGACACTTACCAGCTGTGTGACCCTAGGCAAGTCACTTAACTCTGATTGCCTCACCAAAAAGCAAAAAAGGAAAAAAAACAACAATAAGCAGCAACAACAATAACAAAAAACCTAAGTGCTAGAGTGTGGTGGAGGTCATACTGCTAAAGAACTCAGGGAGGAAGAGTGATATGGTTGGGGATGAATCATGCATTCTTCTATAAGGGGCACTGTGTTGTGGCAAACAAAGCACTAGACTTCAAGAAAGGAAAATGTGGATTCAAAGTCTGCCTCAGACTGACGTCCAGCACAACAAAGAGAGCACTGGGCCTAGATCTGGAAGAACCAAGTTGGAATGTGGCCTTTGACACTTACTAGCTGTGTCAACCTGTTTCCTCAACTCCAAAACTGTAAAAAACAAAACAAAACACCCACAATGATAGTATCTCCCTCTCAGGGTTGTAGTGAAGATCAAATGTTAAGTGTTTATCACAGTGCCTGGTACTTAGTAGGTATTTAACAAATGCTTGCTTCCTTCCTACTGCTAATCACATAATTTCTTTCTACTTCACTTTCCTCAAATATAAAATGGGAATAATGGCCAACATCTATCTCAAGGATTGTTGTGAGGATCAAATTATATTTCATTTGACACATAAATTTGATACATTTGTACATAAAGACCTCTTCATACTTTAAGGTACCATACAAATGCCAAGTATTATATAAAAATCTTAGCTGATTTGGGTTATATACTCCCCTCCTCTCATTACCAAATTTATGTCCATGGTATATAGTACAACATTTTTTCTAGCTTAAGCAACACTGGCTTAACATAAAGGATCCTCTAACTATCTGTGTCAATAAATGATTGCACCATTTATACTGCTCAAGTCAAGGAGAGGAACGGGGGCAGGATGGCTTGAGGGTTCTTTGATTTATTACCAGAAATCATATAGATATTCAAGGAACAAAAGTTTTGGTCATATCCATTTCCTGCAAAACTGCTTCTCTCTCCAACTTTCCTATTCCTGTTAATGATACAATCTCCCAGCTACCTCTGCTCCAAACCTCAGGGTCATCTTTTCCACTCTCTTCTTCCCACCACCTAATCCTGGTCAGTGGTCAACTTCTGAAATCTTTCAAGTCTATCCTCTTCGTCTCTACCACTACCATTCTATTCAGGTTCGATTATTTCTTCTTCTGGACCATTATAATGGTCTCTTAATCTGTTTTTGCCTCCAAAATTTCCTACAGTAGAAAGGTACTGGATTTAGAGTCAGAGGGCCTAGGACAGAACTCTGGCTCTGCCACTTACCATTTATGTGGCTCTAGGCAAGACTCATCTGTAAAACAAACTGGTTGGACCATATGATCTGTAAGGTCCCTTCCAAAATCTCTACATCTATGATCCTAAAACTGGCCTGATTAAGGATCTTAAAAAAACACATCTCTGTACACTCTGCTATTCAAAAATTTTCAATAGCTCCCCACTGCCTACTAAATAAAATTCAAATTTCTTGGCTAGACATTTCAAACCCTCTACAACTTAGCTCTAGTATACTTTTCCAAAATTATACCACCCTCCCTCTCTTTATACTTCCCTGAGGCCACAAAATGCCCAGAATGCCCTTCCTTCCTCTACTCCTCCTTACTCCTTATCTCTCAGCTGAAATTCTACCCATCCTTGAAAGGCCCAATTCAAAAGCAAAACTTGTTTGCCTGTCCCAGATCCCTTCCTTTATATCTTTATTCTGACTGACTAGTCACTAATACAATGCTTTAAATGTGTTTTACGACAAAGGTTATCAAACCATATACCAAAACAAGGCCAAAATGGGTACATGATTTAGACAATTAAGGAAGATACCATAAGCAAATTAGGGGAGCATAGAAAAGTTTACCTGTCAGATCCATGGATAAAGGAAGAATTTATTACCAAACAAGACAAGAGTTGGTTTGGTCCAATGAAGGTGACAATTATGTAGCATAATAAAATGTTAAAATTGTCTTTTGATGTAGTAATTTCTCAAGATCATAATCTTTTTTTAAAAGAATCTTTCTCTACACCTCCTTCCCCACCTTTCACCTCCTTTTGTTCCAGAAAAGGCTCTTTGCCTACATTCTCTTTCCAAAGAAATTTCCCTGGCATGCTGCCACAAGTTTATCTGCCCACTTCCATTTTAAGTAATTTTCCTTTGAAAATCTCTTCTGCAACAAAGATGGGTCCCAGGGTTTATT